AAGTACCTGCATGTCATAAGCATTTGAATTAAAATTACCATATTGAAATCAAATCTGATGTTTTTTAATTTTTATTTGGTGTGCGTTGGAACAGGGGTAGTCTTATACGGTGAGTATAGCCCAAACTCTATATTTTAACTGGAAAAGTTGGGGGTCGTCTTATACGCCCAGTCGTCTTATACGCCGGAATATACGGTAAGTTCATTATTACTGGGTTCATTGTTGGTGATTGGAAGGATACCTCATGGTAAGTCCAACATAGTACCATTCTGGGGTAAAGGAAGGGTCAGTGAAGCTTTTAAAAACAGAACTATTACAAAATCATTAATTCAGACTATGAACTATAATGTACCATGATTTTATTGCTTAACAATTTTGGAAAATTTTCAGTCAGGTGGTAGTGAAGTAAAAGGAAGCACAAAGTATTTGGGTGAAGGAATGGTTTGATTTCTTGAAGACATTCCTGAGTATCTGCCAACTTACACAAGGATTTTTTTTTAATAGTAAAAAGCCACAAAAACTCAGACCATCTGAAAAGAGGCGTAATACTAGCTCGAGTGAAGCCATCTTCTGGGCATCTGTTTTTGCTCCCGCCTAGCAATCTATGATGATTAAACTAAATTAGGAGGGAGTCTATTCTTTGTAGCTTATTTTGTAATACATTATCTCTATGTATCTCGCTAAGACCCAACTGTAGAACTTTGTTATTAGCGTTTCAATGGTCACTAGTATTATTGACTTGGTGTCTGTGTTTTTTATCAATAAAAATATGGTGAAAATATACTAAAATGTGTGAACTGTATATATGTTATATAATAAATCATATAATATACTGAAGAAGTAGACAACAGATTTGTATTAGGTGATTTAGTACAGCCTAGTTGTGCAAATATTTCTATAATATGTCTGGTCTTTTTGACTGGGAATCAACATCATTTAATTGCACATTTCCAACATTGCATTGGATTACAAAATAAATTCTATTATATTATGGGTTTGATACACATATTAGGAGAATATTTGCCTTTATGCAACCAACCAATATGGGATGTAAAAGATTATGTTGCTGATATGGATTAATTCTCTTTTTGCTGTTAAAATGGACTATTCTTATTCTCATAGAATATTGTACAACTGTGGTTCTTCTAATTCCAACTTGCTGGCTCTACAACACAGATGTAAAACTAAGTCTGCAAAAACCATAACTAAAGTTAGTTAAATCTGAACCAGGACTGTCTTACAAATCCTAAAACATACTCTTATTTTAACAATCTTTAATTGATGATAATAATAGACACAGAAATTTGGAAATTAGTAATGTTTAGCAATTAGATATTTTCCTTAGGGCCTATACTTATCTCAAGAAGGTATTTAATATTCTTTAAGGATGCCTATTATTTTCTTATAGTTCTGTTTCTTCACATGACATGCCATCCAATGCTATGTTTCCGTGGCTCTCTTTGAAGGTCACTTCTGCTACAATTGTGACTTAAGGTAGTATTCAACCTGTTTATAAGTCAAAACCTGCCTCATCCTTGTCCTTAGGTATGTGGCCATATCTCGAGAGGAGAGAGAGCAGAACCTAATGGCATTTCAGCACAGTGAGAGGATTTATTTTCGGACTTGTCGGGACATCCGGCCAGGGGAAAAACTGAGGGTCTGGTATAGTGAAGATTACATGAAGCGGCTGCACAGTATGTCTCAGGAGACCATCAACCGAAACCTCACAAGAGGTGAGATTTTTCCCCCCTTTCTTTCCTTTCACTATTTGTTCATGTCTTTGTTTTTGACCCAGTTACCAGGCAGTTCTTGCAAAATCATGTGTGTGAAGAAATCAACAAATAAAAAAATCATCAATGTAAAATAATACACAGTGTAAAATAATAACTATTTTACACTGATAATACAGATAATACAGTTGAAATGGATCCATCAAATAAAATATATAAGGGATATGGGGAGAATTTCATTTAATATATACTGAAAACTAAGAAGCATTGTCTTGAAGGAGATATTTTTGGCTTGATTTTGGGGAGGGGGAGGGGATAAATAGGGCAGATACAGTGGCTGTGGTACAGTTGTAATGTCCTTTTCAGTTTGCAAAATACCTGTATCTTTCTGGCAAACACAATGGTTATCATGATATTTAAATCTGACAATGAGGTATTCAACAAATATATCTGATTAGCTTTATATACCAAATACTGATGAGTGCTGGAGAATGAATGATTCCTCCACTGACAGAGATCAAAACTTAAACATTCAGAATTAATTGGGAACTTTCCAAATATATCCAGAAATTAGGACAAAGATATCCTGATCTCTGGATATGCACCATTATGGGTTTTGCTTCCTTCTTAGTGTAGAGGTCCACTCTCAAAAGTACTTTAAAAGGGAGCTTCCCATAGTTGATAGTAGATAGCTGATTAAAGTTGATGGTTGAAAGAAAGGAGGAAGAGGATCCACATGAAATTATTTTTCCTGTTATTTTTCTGAACACTATCATGTCCAATTTATTTATGTAATGTATTTTGCATGAAGCTGTATGTTGTCCTTAAACTTGAAGCAAACATGGAAGAGGTAGTATCTCCCAATTTTCTTTCTACTAATTGGAACTCCTATATGCTTTAAAACTTATTCTCTGCAAGTGCTGAGAGAGATGCTGATAATTGAGTCATAATTAGCTGGTGCTCAATGTGTGCAAGTAGGCTTATGTAAATACACACTTTCTTCATTACAGAACTGTAGAAATGACTATATTTATGAAAAGGTTATTGGTTTTAGTTTTATTTTTTTGAATAGCCACAATCTTAATTAAAGTTAAAGGTAGTTCTCTTACATTTCTAAGCATTTTGATTTAAAAATGTGGTATCAATTGGAATAAAAAATGATAAGAGGTTAAAAAAAACTGACAAGTTTAAAAATCAGCATGGTACTCATTATTCAAAGTGGTGGCAATCCAAACTGTGTTTCCTTATTTCCTGACCTGAGTGTATATGTATGTGTGTGTGTTTCTGGATTAGTACATGAGTTCAGTTCAAAAGATCATTAGGAACAACAACAAAAGCTCAAAACACCAGTTGCTCATAGACAGAGTAATCACTCAAGGTCTAGGCAGACCAATCTGAGCACAGCCTGGATTGATTACAGGAAAACCTATGGCTCAGTGCCACTCACATGGATCTCTGACTGCCTACACTATACAAAGTGATCAGGACACTAAGGACCTTCTCAAGAACTCAATGGGACATTGGAAGATAGCACTGAAAGTCAACACAAGGCAGCTCACACAAGTGGCCATCAAGTGCAGTATATATATCAAGGTGATGCACTGTTCCCTCTGCTGTTCTGCAAAGGCTTTGACCTCCTCAGCCAGATATTCACAAGAACTGGATATGGATACAAGTTCAAGAGTAGAACTACCCCCAGCTGTCTCCTCTAAATGGATAAAATCAACTTTTATGTTAAGAATGAACTCACTGATCTACCTGACAAATCTACAGTGAAAAATATGGCCAAGATAATAGTCAAAAGTGAGAAAGTAGTTAAGACTGATGAGGTGCAACTACCAGTGGGCCACATATCAAACATACAGATTAGTTACAAGTATCTCAGTATCCCACAATCACATGGGAACAACAGTGGGGGATGCAAGGAAGACAGCAACATCAAGTACCATCAAAAGGTAAGTCAGCTCAATGGGAAGAACAAAATCCATGCCATTAACATGTATTCCCTACCAGTCTTAAGATATCTGTCAATACAATGAGCTGGTCAAACCAGGACATGGAAGCTGCTGATGTGAAGACCCAGAAGCTCCTCATAATGTACAGAGGTTTCCACCCCAAGTTCCCAGAGATTATACACCAGCCGAAAAGAAGGCAGGTGGCATCTGATGAGTGTCAAAGCCACTGTCCTGGATCAAACCCAGAACATCTGGGAGTATATCAGATGTGTTGCTGAGAGAATGTCTGAAGCAGCAGCAGACATGGGAGAAAGATCAAGCAGTGCCATGGCAAGACAAGACTCTGCATAGGATGTACCATTGACAGATAGCTGAGGTGGCAGACATTGGGAAATCCTACCAGTTGGATTAAAAGACAGCACCAAGGCACTAATCATAGCAATAAGAGGCACTAAGCACCAGATCCAACGAAGCAGGTGTCTACTATGCTAGGCAGAACCCAAGGTGCAGACTATGCAAAGAGGCCTCACAGACAATCCAACACATAATGGCAGGGTATAAGATGCAGGCAGAAACACATTCACTGAAATAGCTGGCATCGTGTACAAGAATACCTGCACAGTGTATGGGTTAGATTTTCCCCAAGTCCAGATGGAAGAATCCACAGAAGCTTATGGAGAATAACAGGACTAAGATCCTGTAGGACTTTCAGATCTATACAGACAGGCAGGTACTGGCCAACCAACCAGTGTAAGTGTTTGGCATCTACTAAGTTCCTGTTGGCCAAGTTATGAAGCTACTATGGTCATGTTTTCTCTCCTCTGATTACTGATTAGTGCCTTCTACGGCCAGTTTGGATTAGATTAGTGGAAAGATCAGACATTTGATTTCTGGAGAAATTCTGCCTGTTTAATGTTTGATCCATACTTTACAAACACAGTTCAGGCATTACTTTGAGGTAATGCTAGCAATAAATACTATATTTGAATCAAAAGTGTTTTATTATCACAGTGTTTTATTATCACATATGAAATATCTAATGGTCTGTGGAACCTCTTTGGATGAATTTATTATTTTACAATGGAAGAGTTTTACTTTCAAACTGTAATCTAGTGTTATATCAAGAGTCAGAACTTTTAATGTCTTCTATTGTTCACCAAATGAATTCCACATATACATATTTAGATAAAAGAGCAGTCAATTAGACACATCCCATGGCCCATACTGCTGATAAACTAATTTTTTAAAAAATATCCAAACATTTGGATCATCTATGCAAAGTTGTAATGTTTATATTTACATCAAAACCACAATTGAACATGACTTAGGAGAGACAGTTTATTTAACTTTACCAATACAAACAATATCTAGTACTTTTGTCTTGATGCTTTGACTTGGTAAAAGAAATTATAATTTCAAATGCATACTTAGTTTCTGTTTTATTCACATACTTGTGTGTATGTATATGTATGCATGCACGCATGTATTGTAAGCAAATCCTTAAACAGAAAAAGGCCAGATGCAGAAAATTTGCTGGAAGCAAAGTTTCTTCTTCTGCCTCTCTCTAGTTCAGGATTAAGACTGTGAAACAATTAAAGTTATGGCTAGCTGTTCTTGGATTATGAAAACATACCAGGTCAGTGGAAGCAAATTCTATATAACATAGAATAATAATTAGGCAATTGAATATATTGTTAAAAACATATCTTAACATTAAGATAGTAGTGAGTAATGGTCTGAGGAATGAAGCAGGTCTATTATATATCCTCTATATGGAATTACCAAGGATCATACTGCTGAGATTTGTCACAAACTGTTGATGTTTGGTTTTGTAATTTTTCTTTTTAAAACATACACTACACATAAACATCCATATACCCATACACACTATTCAAGACTCTCCTGGAACCTAAACAAATCATAATAAATATGCAGTCCCTAGCTGCAAAAATAGTACTATCCGTGCCTTAAGAATGATGCAGCTAGCTCTGTTCTACCAGCTCCTGAAATCTCAGGGAAGAAACCATCCTTGCATACTCTCATTCTGGCAGCACTGGATGTTATTCACCTGGAACTGGAGAGTTTAAGATGGGAACATGGCTAATAATGCTTAAAATAGTTTGTGTATCTTGAATGTGGAAGTGGATTTTGAATCTTCTATTTTGCCTTATCCTGGAGAACCCAGAAACTGAAAATTTAGAGATGATCAATGAGATCTAAACACTTATACATACCCAGTAATCTATCATCCATACTATTTGTACGTATATTTAAAGAATAATTGTGTGTGATAAATAATATTGATATTGTAAATGGATGAAGACTCTTAACAAATTAAAATTCTCATGAGTTGTGATGTTAAAGCTCTTTTCTTTCCCTCTTGTATGTTAAATTGAATTGCTCACAGTTACTTCTTGGAAGGACTCCCTGAGCATCATATATAGTAAGGTATGGTATATAAATCTTGTAAATTAAACCTGATATTAAACCATAAAAGAAAGAGAAAGTTCCTGTTTTACTGCAGGGAAATAAATTAAAACAGTTGATGGCAGTCTATTCATAACAGGGGAAACTCCTGTAGTGAAGGAAAATACTTTTAATATTTATAGTTGGAAACTGGGTACATTTATTGTTTCTGCTTTTTTTTAGTGAAAGTTATGCAAAGTCATTGTGAATTGGCCAGCAGCTAAATTTAAATAAAGAAACCAGATGTCCAAGAGAAGATTTGGATGGAGCCTATACACAAAGGTTCCTATACCGCTTGAGATATAGTAGGAGAAGGCCCACATTATGCAAGCTCCATATCTTCTTGGAGGCACACCAATTCTGGGTTGCACAACCAGGATTACACCACATTTTAGTAAAATGTTAAAAGTTTTGTTGCCATCCTGGTCCTCCAGATTTTTGCAGTCCAGGTCTGGTAATCTTGCCTTCTTGTATATATTGTCCCTGATTCTGAACTAATCATTCATTTAAGAACTTCATTCTCAGTAATAAGTCTCCATCTTAGTCAAAGTCCGTGAAAAATGTTTCATATGAGATCTCTCA